GATATCAACCATCCGCCATCCCCTTTGAGACCCATTAAAGAGAGCGCAGCAGCCTTTCCATCTCTCGTAAACAGGATATGAGGCAAGTATTCAGATGGTGTGGCACATGTGTGTGTGTGTGTGTGTGTAGGGTGGGTGTCTGATAAGCCAAAGTCACTATAAACGAGATGCCATCGTTGTTTTTGCTCTCTGTTGATGCCTTATGGGGGCTGCTAAAGTGCAAATGTGAATGCTTTGAGTTAAGGAGGCAACCATTTAGGAGCGCTCCATTTTATGCTTTAAGCAACACTCACACACACTCACACACACACACAGATAATACACAAACACAGGGATAGACTGCACTTGGCTAAGACAAAGTTGGCCACATTAAAAATGATTAGCAATTTAATGCACGACTAGACAACGTCCAGTTCTTTCTCTCTCTCTCTCTCTCTCTCTCTCTACCTCTGTCTCCTGCTGTTTCTGCCTTTGTGGCACATTCTACTGACGCCAAACATCGTAATGGCCAAGGGAAGAGGGGTGTGTCTGGCGTTGACTGGGCCATAAAATTGTTGAAAACAACATGGTCGTTTCCTTACAGTTCCTTCAGGCATATTGGCTGTGGGGGGTTGAGCGGACCCTTTCTTTGAGATTCGGAAAGAGAAGAAGGAAAATTTGGATGCATCAAAGATTAAGTTTAGCCTGAAGAATACGATACCAAGAGCTGCAGCAATTTCCAGGGTATTACATGCACTCCCTCGACTCCTTTTTTAGAGCACTTTTCCCCATGATTTTTCCTACTTTTTTCTCCTCCTTTTACTCTCTGGTATTTTCATGTTCTTACGTGCAACAAGCATTCTCGGCAACTGGCGAAAAACACATCAGCATCACTTTCCGCCTCACTGCCGATGTCATCTGCTCTCGGCTGACGCCGCTGTCGCTGTTGCTGTCGCTGTTGCTGTCTCTGTCCCCTACCATTCACGTGGCACTCGGTTGTTGTTGCAGTCGGTGCTGCTTCCGTTCAGCTTGCTCGTTGTCTGAGCCTTTAATTTAAAATTATGCAACTGTGTGACTAATTTTTTTGTGCGCTTTTTTGTGATTTTTCCACTCTCTAAGCTTCTGCCTTCCCTAATGCTGTAATTTCCCTTTGGCAGACACTCATTGACTTGACTCGCGTGCTGCTGCTGGCTGCTGTTGCTGCTGTTTTGGGGTCAGGCGTTGCAAAGCCCCCAAACAACATTCATAAATCATTTAGAGTGGCGGAGGAGTAGGTGGGTGCAACCCCAAAAGGGGGGAAACCCAACTATTGTTGTTTTTCTACTCATCGTTATCATGGGGTAGGGGCAGGGGCAGGGGCTGCAATCGACAGACCACCAACCCGCCCCACCCCGTCCCGCCCCGTCACCTTGCTCCGCAGAATCAGCAGACGAGCGACTACCGTCCCTGGCCTGTCCCTGGCAACGTTGCACAGAAAACACATTAATCAATTCCCACCGACATCGTCTCGGGGCCACATTGTACATCCTCCCATTGTGCGGAGAGTAGATCGTAGGAAGAGCGTGCAGCGGAAAAACAAGGACGAAATGAAACCGTTACACGCTCTACAAGCGCAGCAACAAAAAAATAGGAAAATGCACTCGTAACTTTCCATAATGTGCAGCGCGCGTGAAAATTCGTCCTTAGTCTGGCGTGAAAAATATGCGAGTGAGACAGAGTAAAAAGCTAAAAATATAGCAAAGGGAACACACACAGACACACAGACACACACACACACAAAAACGGAACAACAGAAAAAAACCGAAGAAAAAAAAAGCTGTAACCAGAAAGAAAATTGTTTACGCTGCAAGTATTTATGATTTTTCATTGGTCAAAGGTTTTCCGCGGCGGCGGATATTTATTCCCATGTTCGAGGTTGGCATTCGAGTTCTGGTTCTGGTTCTGGGTTTATGCCCACGCGATAAATATTTGCCCATAAATTTGGCGTGTAATCGTGCAACGTGGATTGGGTTGGGTTGGGCGGCGGGCGGTGCAAAGTTGCGGTGCTGCCCAGCAGCGTTTGAATATTTTAAATTATTTAACCGACAGAAACATTCATTAGCCAGAAAGCCAAATGAATTCTCGCAGTTCCAAAAAGTAATTAAATGGTGATTTTTACACTAACGCGTCAGTGGCCAGTATTTAGATTCCATTCCTGGCGTTCCGAGTGAAAGAAAATCCCTATTTTCAAGAAAAAATCGGACTACGGCACATCTCTAACGTATGACAAGTGAATATTACTTTTCGACATTTATTCGTGAGAGAAAAAATCTTGTTCTCCCTTTTTTTTTTGTCTCATTCAATTGCCTATGTAAATAGTTCGATAGTAAAAATGTCTTCGACAAAGAAATTGCAAAAAAACGCCAAGGAACAACGACACGCGGAGGTGGCGCGTCCATCCAAGAAGCAGCAGAAAAACGCTGCGGCTGATAAGTCGAAAAAGTTACTGGAGCCGCCCAAGAAACAACCTCAAAGTGACGGCGACGCCGCCAAATCCATTGGCCCTCCGTCGAAGAAGCTTGGCTTAGACCCAGAGCAAAAGCAGAAATCGCAAAAAATCCATGAGCCAACCAAGGCAGAAACTCAGGGGGAAGACGCCGCCGCCGCCGACGCCCCTGTATCCGATCTGCCCATTTGCGGCCCTGCATCAAAGAAGAAGCTGATCCCGCAGCAAAAGAGCATTGCCACTGAGATTTTGGTCAAGCCGCGCAAGAAAGAAAAGCCGAAACATTCAAGCGAATCCTACACAGTGGAGCTATTCGGTCGCACCCAGGACCTTTCCAAGTTCAATGAGTCGACGGCTCTGTACTCAATGTGCCGCGCCTGGATGTCCAATCAGCCGCGCACCATCGCCCTCTCCACTTGCAGCACGGACGGCGGCAATGTTACAGTGAAGCGCGAGGACAACGCCGAGGAAGTTCTGGCCCAACTGAAGAGCGGAAGTTTGAATACGCTGTCCCAAATTCCGAAGGCTCGCTCCACCAAACTGACTGTGGTGCCGCCGCGTATGGTGTACACCGATCAGGAGAGGATGAATGAGATGGAGCTGCAAGGGGCAAAGGGGGAGGTGCTGCTCGCGCTCAATGTGGCCCGCTGGAAGCGCATACGCCAGCACTGGCAGGAGCACACTCGCAACTACAATCACGAGCGCTACGAACTCATTGACCAGATTGTGAATGTGGCCATGAAAGGGATGAAAAATAATTGAACGCAAATTACAAAAAATAAATACAATAATTATGTCGAATAAATTCGAGTAAAATATGTGTTTCCCTTTCGTTTCAGTTTAGTTTTGCCTTTGAGTAGAGTTTAAGTCTTGGCTTTTACTAAATAGTTTACTAAATAAATTCATGTATTTTAATCTGTCTCTCTTCTTTACTCTCCTTTGCAGGCACAACAACAATAATGACGACATTGAAATGGCGGCAGAAATACAAAAGCAGAAAAAGGCCAAAGAAACTGAAACAACGAATAATTGCAACAAGCACTGCCCCAGCAACACCAACAACACATGCCACAAAAGAAACAACACGAAGAACCAGCAGACTGAGAGAGACCAGAGATCAGAGCAGGGAGAGGAGCAGGAGCAGGAGGATACTGCAGCTGCAGCTGCAGCAACATCACAGAAAATGGCTGCCAAATGAACGACACAGAAACGTCGCAAAAATGTTGCAAATGCAGCAAACTGCAACAGCAACAGCAACAACAACAACAACAGATCCCGCACAATGTCAAGCAATTAAAGCGGCAGCAAAATCCTCAACAATGGCTTCCAACGGCTGGAGCGTCAGCCATTGTCAGTCACAGCAGCAGAGACAGCAGCAGCAGCAGCAGCACCACCACCAACGGCGACATCCATTTCCGGCATCAGCACTGACGCTGCTCCTTTTCTGCCTGGGCCTATGCCTGGGAATTGCAGCTGCTGTTGGCTCTGGCTCTGGCTCTGGCGCTGGCGCTGGAGCAGGGACTAGTCCTGGCAAACCTGCCAGTTTGCAAATGGCACCGACTTCCGCCTCCAGCTCGGCTGCCGGCTGCTCCTTGGCGGAATACAGCTGCTCGAATGGACGCTGCGTGCCGCTGAGCAAGTACTGCAACAACCTCAACGACTGCGGCGATGGCAGCGATGAGCCACGCTTTTGCACACGTAAGTACTCGAACTGCTACGCTACTCGTTCGACTGAGGCCAAAGGCAATTATGTAAAGCGGGCGGCGGCATAATGAGAAACGAAGCTGCCAAATGGACTGCGAGAGGCCATTGTTTGCCCAATTGGCCAGGCGATTGATGGCAGACAAAGGGGGGTGGGGGAAGGATACGCCTCTCGCTGCCACATGGCAGGAGCTCGCACCTGGCTTCAATCAAGCTTGTCAAACCTTATAACTGTCCGGTAATCTCCGTCTCCGTCCAGTGCACCAATTCATGGCACGGCCCGACACAGCCCGGCACGGCACGATTGCCTGCTCCTGTAAACATGGCCTTCATGTGTAAATGTAATTAAGGGACTACACCCCCACACACCCAACTCCACACGCGCACAACCCATTCACAGCTCGCACACCCACACCCCACCACCCATTGGCCCTTATAATGGCGGCAAAGTGAACTTCTCACTTTTGCCAATTGGCTGCCTATAAGCCCCTCCACAATTCCCTTCCTACTCCTGCTCCTGCTGCTGCTGTTGGTGCTGCTGCCGGGCAGCTCCTGTCAAGCGTTGATGAATTTAATTAAGTATTTTTCAATGACATTCAATGAGGCAGCAGAGGCAACACAGGCAGAGGTCTGCTGTTGAATAAGGGCAGCAGCGAACACTCTTTGGATTTTTTAATTGAACAACGAGCACATCGAGTGGGCGTCCTTGTATTTGTATTTATTTGAGGGCAGTATCCGGTGCACAAATGCCAAATTCAATTCCCTAGCTTATTGAAGCTCGACTTTTTTCACAGGTTCTACACAGTATACGATGAAAAGGAATATTCCTCATACATTTACGTATCGACATAAACAACATCAAACGTCAAACCCATTTTAATGCAAGTCGAGTTAAAGGGACAAGGCACTGTCTTTTACCCAATATATGTATATATTTAAATATTGGATAATTGAGAAGCGAGATTTTTAAATTCCAACATTTTTGGATACATTTGTGAATCTTTGTTAGTGTTCCATAACGGCAACATCTGGTTGCGGGTCAGCTGCCGCTCCAGCCTCCGGCTCAATGAGTGCGACTGGTGGGCGGTCATCGCCATTATCGTCGTCGTCGTCCGGGTTAATGGGTGGCTGGGGCTGAGCAGCAGCACCCATCTCATTGGCCATGTTGGTGTACTTCTCGACTTCCTCGGCGGTGAGCATTTTGAATGGCTGATCCTTTGCGACAATGGCCACAGTGACGGTGAATGGAACCGGTGCCTTCTCCTTTCCACTCGAAGTCCCGTCTATGGGTTGGCTGTTTTTGATGGCCAGTATGCCATGGCAAATCAGCTCATCGTTGGAACAGGTCAAGAAGCCATTCAGATTGCGCTCCAAGTAGGTGCGGGCGCCCTGCGAGCGTGACCCAATGGATTGGGCCTTGCAGTTGTAGATGACGGCCGAGGGCATGACCTGATAGAGATTGGGTCCCTTCTCGTCATACCCGGCAACGAGTAGGCCCACTCCGTACGGACGGCGATCGTAGCGTTGGGTGGTGCACTGCATCTTGTTGCCCAGATTCGTCATCAATCGCTCCACTGGATGAGTGGCGTCGTATGCGTAGCGATAGCTCAGGCACGAGGAGTGCAAATAGCGGCTCAGCACACGAGCGTCGGCGGTGATGCCGGCAATGGATATGCCCAAGTGCTCATCGATGGGAATGATCTTGCGCAGGGCCACAGACAACTCCGATGACTTGCCCAGGGCCACAAGAACAACAGCATCACGACCCTTGAGACCCACGGTGGCAGTGCCCTGCTTCACGGCCTCCATTGCGTACTCAACTTGATGCAAGCGTCCCTGAGGACTCCACACGGAGACTTCGCTATCGTATTGGTTGCGGAACATGATCTATTCGCAATTTGCAAGACTTTCGACTATACTTTCGAATGAATTCAAGAATAAATCAACTTGAATTGCAGAAATCCAATTGCTAACCTCAAATTGTAATGCTGCCGATGATGACAATGAAAAAGTACAGACGGCGCAGCACAGCTGTCAATTCTACAGCAACGCTTTTTGCAGGCAATCGATAGTGGTATCGATATGTGGTTTTGCGTGCTGAAATTCAATTTCCAGGCTTTTGCAACAAGAAAATGAAACTGTCTGAATATAATCAAAATAATAATCCAATTGGTTGCTTATAATAATAACCAGAGGCACTTTCCACATTTATATTGTGTCCTTTCTTGCTTTATTGCTCTGGCAATTATAATAGCACTCACTGGTCACTCTCGCCCCTAAATAAACAGACAGACTGACAGGCAAGCGAAAGGAAAATGCGCCCGCCTACAGCTAGTTCAAACTAATACCCATAATTATCTAATTGACTATTGATGGTTGATTGAATGCAGAGAAAGCGCTGCACTAAACGCAACAGCCCCATTGCCCTCCCCTCCCTTGGAATTAGCAATCAATTCGAATTGAATCATTTTCTCTATGGACCCATAACTTCTTCTCCGTCACAGACAGGACCGCACAGCACGATTCATATGCATTTTTAATAAAACTAATTGAAATGCCCTAGGAGTCGCACCAGGACTCTTGGCCGAGATGCCAGTGGTAAATTGGCAATTTCCATGCAAAATACAATTGCTTGCACTTAACTTTTGGGACCCATGGTATCCAAGTGGGCACGGGACAACAACACACAACACCTAAAGGAAAAGGAGAAGAAGGAGCAGGAGCAGCCAGATTCCATCCAGCCAAATGCAAATCTCACAAACATAAATCATTGCAGTTTTGTGGTCAATTCAATTATGAAAAGGAATTCCAAATAGGAATACATAATCGAGTTAAATTGGGAGAGAACTATGTAAATCGATTGATTTTTTATTCACATTCTAAATGGAGATTTAATTGGAAAATTCCTAGCATAAATGATTGTTGATTCGTGTTGGTTGGAGTGAGTGGAACACTATACACCATCCTCTACCTACTCTATCCTCTGTCCCACAAGGCTAGAAAGAGCTTATTCACGTAGCAGGAATACTGCAGCTTTTGCAGTTTGATAAGCCTCTAAAATCCTTCGGAATCTGACCGGACTCGTCCCAACGCCCACGCCATCCTCAATGCATGCAAATGCATTACTCAATTGAGGAAAGAACGGCATGTCCTCTTCACTGACAGCCTCTTCACGATTGCAGCAACTAACAAAATGATAGATTTTTCTTAACAATGAGCTCAGCAGCATAAAGTATAAAGTACACTAGTTTGTACATTGTACACCTGCTGGAAAACTTCACAGCGCATTCCTTTAATGCACCGCCGAAAAAGAAAATATAAATATAGAAAATAGCATAAAAATTGGATTCATCAATCCGTCCGTTTTTATGCATGTATAATAAGATATACTTTGGCATTACCCAAAACTTAAACAGTTATTTCTCCACAAAAAGTATAAAAGATTCTCTAAAGTGTTTAATGTAAATATAATGTTGAGTATTGTGTGAACTCACCTTCAATTTGGCAGCAGATCATACTTTTTTCGCATACTGCGTATAAATGAATGTATGTAATAGGCTGTGCAGTTGGACGCGTGCACACCTCACGAAAAACACGTTTTAATTGACCGCTTTAAAAGAGGGACGGAGAAGAACTGAGAGCGCTGTGATAAGAGGGCCGGGCATGCGTAAGCAGCTCAAAGCTCTTCTTCGAGATCGGATCTGCCTTCGTTTTTGCTCGTCTTTTCTCTCCCTACTTTACTGCATGCTGAGAATGCAGCAGCGTGGGCGGCTCTCTCACTCTCGCTCTCCCAGCAAAGAACGAAAGCGAAAGTGTGTGGCCGAGCAAGAGCGTATGTACATACATACATACATACATATGTAGTTGTGTAGATCTCACTCTCGTTTTCATTCGCTGTTATCTCGCTGCTAAGTTAACATGCCTCCGGTAACTTTGCTGTTAACTCGCTGCTAGGATAACATGCCTCTGGTAACATTGTACATAGTGGCATCTTGTGTGTGCGTTCCCTGTGGATGATTTATGGCGTGTCAATTGCCAGACTATTCCACGTAGCGCCTCATCAACCTGCTAGAGGTGGGGCTGCGGTTGCCTGGCAGCACGGCGGCACGGCGGCAAACAAACTAATTGCCAAACTAACGCTAATTGCATTTAATATATTTGTGTCTCCACCACACCCCACCCACAGGCTGTAATCGCACATACTACGGAGATATTGGACAGACGTACTCCTTGGAGCTGCACCGACCCAAACAGGATCGCGTGCCCTTTGTGTGTGTGCTCACGTTCACGGCGGCAGGCGGCCAGCACGGCGATGTGGTGCAGGTGAGTCCCACAGTCCCCAGTCTCCCAGTGGCCCAGTGCCAGGCTCCATTTCAATCCCCACCCCCCAGCCCCTGGCTGATACCTTTCACATTTCATTTTGTAAACGGGATAAACTAAGCCATTAAAAGATAAGCAACAACAATGAAGAGAGAGTCGAGGCACAGGCAATATTGATTTCAAAGCCACCCACTGGAGCGTTGCAAATCCTCTTCGGACTGGCCCCAGCACAGCAGCACAACCAGGCGTGACTTCAACTGACAGGGCAGTGGCTGTGGCAGCCTCCGCCTCCTGCCGGTTGGACTGGCAGGAAGCAAGTGCCGGCGCCTGTTAGTTATTACGCCACTTCACACCTCGAAGCAGAGGCAAGAGGTGGGGCAGGAGCAGGAGCAGGAGCAGCCAGTAAGCCAAAGCCTTTGGCACGCTCGAGTGCGTCCCGAGGGCATTCATTGAGAGAGTCCTGCCCTGTTCCTGCCCTGTCCTGCCCTGTCCTGCCCTGCCCTGCACTGATATACTTGTACTCCAACCGAAACTTCATTACCTCCCTACCCCCGTACCCTACGCTCTGTAAATATTTCATTGTGCGAATCGCTGTCTCCCTTTCTTTGACCAGGTCACCCTGGACAGCTTCACCATTGGCAGGTTCACCTCGTACGTGCACGAGGGCTGCCCGGATGGATACATGCAGATAGCGGAGTCGGCCCGCACCCCCATCGGGGGCATGTGGTGCGGCAGCTCCTGGGGCCCAGTGCTCTTCTACAGCGAGACGCGTTCCCTCATCTTTACCATCAAGCTGAACAGGTATGATCCGGCCAGCACGGACATTGGCCACGAAGACCAAGTCTTCCCTTTGTGACACAGCGACAACTCCCTTTTGTGTCTGTTTTCCTTCTTTTTTTTTTATTTTGGGCAGACTGGCGAGGGATCAAAGCGGCTACAACTTCGACTTTCGCATTCGATACAAGGTGCTGTCCCGCGACAGTGCCGTCACCCGTTACGGTGGCATTAAGCTGGCAGGTGGGTGGCAGCACAGAGACAAGATTGGATTCCGTATACCTAATCCGCTTGCCACTTCCTTTGCAGAGCTCGCCCAGTGGCACAACCGCAGCAGTTTCCTCAATCAGCAGCAACAGCAGCAGCAGCTACAACAGCAACAGCAGCAGCTACAACAGCACCAACAGGATGGCGGCGCCCTGGAGGACTTTACCAACTCGAGCGGCGCACGGTCGGATCGGTATGGGCAGGACTTCAGCCTGTTCAGTGCGTATGTGAACAACAAGACGTTCATGGCCTCGCTGGAGAAGTCGCTGGCCAAGGACGAGCAGAACTACACCGAACCCAAGTACTATTTGGGTATGTTGCAAGAGAGAATAGTGACACGGATAAGCATAATCTCTCCCTCTCTCTCTCTCTCTCTCTTTGACACACAGGCGATCTCATACCGGGCACATATTGCTCGAGGATATTCAGTGACTGCGACAAGAAGACCTGTCGCCTGCAGTCGCCCAACTATCCGGGCATCTATCCCCGGAATCTCACCTGCTACTATGCCGTGCGTCAGGTATGAACAACGAAACAATTAAAAGGAAATTAAACTCCTGTCGCATTCCCTGTCCCTGTCCCTTTCGCTGGCTGCTGTCCTGCGCCTTCTGGGGTCCCGACTCCTGTTCCGCTTCTCTGGGATTCGCCCAGGAAGCAAGCGAAAGGTTAGCCTGTCAGACAATTTCCTCAGCCGCATTAAGGCGCCCGGTTTTATCCTTCGTTCGTCCTGTGCCCATAAAAATACCACAATATCGTTTACGTTCTGCCATCACTTGCTCTTGCTCTCCCTCTCCCTCTCGCTCTGCCTTATTTTTATTCATGCCACAACAAAGTTCAAATATCAAGAGAGCAAAAAATTAAATAGCAATTTACATTCCAAAATAGAATGAGCTTTTATTATAATTAACTGAGGGAGCGGCAGCACCCCACTGCCCCACCACTCTCCCACTCCGTTCTGCTTGGCATTTTTTTTAATATCTCTCCGGCCCAAAGCCGGGCTGACTGCACAGGACTCCTTGCCATTGGCATTGTGACGGATTTCCTCTCTAGACAATTTACAACATTTTTTTTATTAGCTGTTGAACTTTTATGGAACATTTTTTTGGGTCTATCTGCGCCCTCTCGCAGCCTGCACATATTTTTAGCAAATTTAGAAATGATTACAAAAAATAAATACGCATACTTGAATATTAGTAGGTGCCACAGCACAAGAAAAAAACAAAGTCGGGCTTACAATAAGTTAAAAGTTTGCCCCTTGATAAAGTTTTTGTAGTGTTCGAAGTTTGAAGAGGGCAGAAATAAATGTTAGACTCTCGAGTAGAGATTTTTATATATGTATAAGTATCGAACAGGCAAGGAAACATGTTGCCAGGGGTACAGCACATCACTTTGGATAAGTTTTCAGTGCTTAAATAATATACAGAGCAATCAACAAAATAGAATACAGGCCCACTGAATATTTTAGCTACATTTTAATTAAAATCCCTCCATTGAGTCACCGAACAAAATCAGCTCTTAAGCTTCGAAAATCCCATATATAGGTAGCTGCCATTTGAATGTTTGCAATTAATCCTACTGTTTTTAGCTCTGGGCATCTGGGCGTGCAAAACGTACAAAAAATATTGGCCGTGCTCAGTTCGTGGCTCATTAATTTGCATTTA